GTGGCGGTGGCGGTGGGTGGTGGTGGTTGGTGGTAGTGGTGGTGGTAGTAGGTTGTGGGTGGTGGGTCGTTGTCGTGGTGGTGGTGGTGGTGGTGGCAGCGGGATATACCTTTGATATACCTTTGAAGAAGTTTCGAGAGTTATTTACTCTCTGAGCCCGGCCAAGGGCCTGGCTCGTTTGGTGCTTGCCTGGTCAATCAGGCTGTTCCTGCTGAGAGAATGTAGTAACTGAGAGGTTACGTCCCTCCTTCCGACAGTATATAAGTCTCCACACTGTCGCTTGTTTCTTCAGACTGTTTAAGACTATGGAACAGAACTTCTCCAGGCTGAGGGACTGACAACCTCAAATCTACGACTTCAAGGGTGATGGACTGATTACATCGTCTTCACATCTCTACTGCTCCTGCCTCCTGTCTGTGCTCACCTGAAGAAGCTTACTGTGTAGGAGAAACGTTAAAGAATAAAGTTGCCTAACTGTTTGAATCAATTATCCTACTTAACTTTGTGTCATCGGCGAATTTGCTCATTTCACTAGTAATTCCCTAATCAAGATCATTGATATATATTATAAACAACAACGGGCCTAAGACAGATATCCACTCGGATTTAAACCCATTTATGCACACTCTCTGCTTCCTGTCTGTGAGCCATGACTCGATCCACGAGAGCACTTTTTTCCCAATGCCATGAGCTGCCACTTTCTTTAACAGTCTTTGGTGTGGAACTCTATTAAAAGCCTTACTAAAATCTAAATAAACAGTATCAAATTCTTTATCGTGATCAACAGCCTCAAAAGCTTTACTGAAGAAAGTTAATGAATTAGTTAGACAAGAACGGCCTCTCGTGAATCCATGCTGAGTATCATTAATCAGATTATGCTTATCCAGATGGCCTCAGCTATAACTGACTCTAGTAATTTGCATACAATTGAGGTCAGGCTTACTGGGCGGTAATTTGAAGGTAACAACTTGTCCCCTGCTTTAAAAATAGGAATTACATTAGCCATCTTCCACATATCAGACACTACACCTGTTTGAAGAGATAAATTAAAAATATTAGTTAATGGTTCACAGAATCCCATTTTGCTTTCCTTAAGAACCCTTGAGAAAGGCTCATCAGGACCCGGCAACTTATTTTGTTTCGGCCGGTCTATTTGTTTCATAACCATTTCACTAGTGACTGTGACGTTACATAATTTATCTTCTTCAGGCACATTATAAAAATTAATTACTGGAATATTGTTAGTGTCTAAACCCGAGAGAAAATAATTATTTAAAATCGAGCACATTTCATTCTCTTTGTCAGTAAGATGCCCATAGTTATTTTTAAGGGGACCTATCTTATCCCTAACTTTTGTTCTATACACCTGGAAAAAAAACTTTTTGGGTTGGCTTTCGAATCCCTGACAACTTTAATTTCGTATTCCCATTTAGCTTTTCTTATCCCTTTTTAACGTCCCTCTTAATGTCAATATATTGATTTATAAGATGACCCTCACCTCTTTTGATTCGTCTATAAATTCCTTTCTTCTGCCCTAAAAGATATTTGAGCCTATTTTCATCCATTTTGGGTCATTTCTATTTGATCTAATTTCCTTATATGGGATAAACGTTCTTTGGGCAGCATGTATTGTGTTAAGAAAGCTGTCATACTGATAGTTCTCTTCGTTACCCCAGTCCACAGATGATAAGTGTTTTCTAAGCCCATTGTCATCTGCTAAGGAAAAATCTGGGACCATTACTGAATTATCCCTACTGCCATACTTCCATTCAATGCTAAAGGTAATTGATTTGTGATCGCTTGTGCCGAGTTCCTCTGTAATTTCTAAATTATTAACAAGGGTTTCTTTGTTTGCCAGAACCAAGTCAAGCAGATTATTTCCCCTTGTAGGCTCTGTCACAAACTGCTTCAAAAAACAATCCTGAACTACTTCTAAGAAGTCGTTAGATTCTAAATTCCCAGTCAAGAAATTCCAATCAATATCACTAGAATTACTACGTTATCGTGCCTTGTGGCCTTATCAATTTCCTCCCATAGTAGTCTCCCTTGGTCCCTATCGAAGTTTGGGGGACGGTATATCACTCCTAAAATAAATTTTTCATGCCCCTCTGAAAATTCTATCCTAACAGACTCTGTATGTGTTACTTCAGACTTAATACACGTTTTTATGCAACAGTTCAAGCGTTCTCGGACATACAATGCCACCCCACCCCTTCCTGATACTTCTATGTACTTGGAACAATTTAAAACCCTGAATGTGACATTCTGCAGGCATGTCCCGACTTTTTGAATCAAACCACGTCTCAGTTATGACAAATACATCAACGTTACCTGCACTTACAACTAATCTCAACTCGTCCATCTTATTCCTAGCACTACGGCTATTTGCATAATATACATTGAAAGACACTCCTTTCTCTTTACCCTTCGTGCTCATTTCTGTTTTTCCACTAAACCTGTTACTGTCCTTGTCACCTAGTGCCATTGGTTTTCCAATATCCACCTCATTCTGCCTATTACTAGTTCCCCTAGAGCTCATAATATTACTACACTGGGACTTGACTGTTTTCCCGCCAGAACCCATGCCACTAACTATTCCTAGTTTAAAGTCCTAACAGCTCCCTCCACTGCCGTTGCCTGTGCCCCATCCCAGACCAAGTGTACCCCATCCCTGGCATACATGTCATTTTTGCCGTAGGAGAGGTCCCAGTTGTCAATGAATGTTACTGCATTTTCCTTACAGTATTTGTCCAGCCAGCAATTGACACCAATTGCCCTGGACAACCATTCATTTCCAACTCCTCTCCTTGGCAAAATACCACGTATAACAGGGTTCCCACCCTTCTTCCTAATTATTTCTATTGCTGACCTATACCTGCTAATCAGGTCCTCACTCCTATGTCTGCCAACATCATTGCCTCCTGCACTGAGGCAGATAATATGATTGCTCTCATTACCTTTCATTATGTCGTCCAGACGGCTAACAATATCCCCCATCCTAGCCCCAGGAAAACATACCCTCTGTCTCCTCTACCTGTCCCTAAGACAAAAGGTCCTATCCATACACTTAACCTGGCTATCTCCAACTAAAATAGTGTTCTTACCTTCACTTGTGGAATTCGTCGTGACGTTCTCGATGGTCTTCTTTGGGGTTTCTAGGAATGTTTCACTCACGTCTGCCAATGCTTCCTTGGTGCTCTTTGTGACGATCCCAGTAGACAACCCACATTCATCAGGAAGCACCGAAAATGGGTTGGAAGTTTCCACAGTAGTCTTCTGGTTCTTCGTTCTTTCTGCCTCTCCAACAGTCTTCTTGATCCTCAGCTTGGTTCCATGTTGTGCATCCACTGACCAGGTTCCCCTCTTTACATGAGGACTCACAACAGGATTACTATGAATCCTCTTGTTCTCCTCCGTTAATCGCTGTATCTCCAGCTTAGCAACCCTAAGCTCCTCTTTTAGTTGCTGGTAGAGTTGCTCAAGAGAGGGCATCCTGGTTCAGATTCACAGAGAGCACACAAACAAGTCTTCACAGAGCTAAGTACAGGTCACCACAGTAGGGTGATACAGGCTAGGACTTTGGGCAGCTTTAAAAAGAGATTGGAGAAATATATGAGTGGGAGGGGCTGGGTTTGATTTGTGTCATTGGGTACAGGAGTAAATTCTTGGGTACCATTGGGTAGAGGTCATTTTGATAAGGACCTGCCTTGTATGGGCCAGAAGGCCTTCTGTAGTGTTCCTCCATTCTTATGTTCTTATGTTCTTATATCCTTCCTAAATCTAAACTTGTCTAATTTGAATCCATTATTGCGGTTTCCCTCTTGGACAGACATCCTCAAGACCTTACTAATATCTCCTTTATTAATACCCACCTTCATCTTAAATATATAACAATGGTTATAAATGACCATAATTTTTAAAGGGGTGGACCGGTAAGCCAGCGGAAGGCCTCGGTCAGATGACCAAAAGCTCCAAAGGCGGGTCATCATCTGACTAAGACCTGCGTCAGGAAACATTTGTCCTGTTTCCTGACGAACCTTACCTAACCTAACCTTCATCTTAAACACTTCGATCATGTCTCCCCTCATTCCTCATCTAACAAATGAATGTAATTTAAGGGTCTTAAGTCTTTCTTCATACTGAAGATTTCTAATGCTATTTATTAATTTAGTCATACTATGCTGAATGTTTTCTAATGAATTTATGTCCATTCTGTAATATGGAGACCAGAACTGAGCTGCGTAATCTAGGTGAAGCCTTACTAATGATGTGTAAAGCTACAGTATAACCCCTGAACTGGTATAGACCGGTAGGCCTTCTGCAGTGTACCTCCATTCATTGTTAGGTAAGACACATATGCAACAGTTAGGTATCTTTATTTCGAAACGTTTCGCCTACACAGTAGGCTTCTTCAGTCGAGTACAGAAAAGTTGATAGAAGCAGAAGATACTTGAAGACGATGTAATCAGTCCATCACCCTTAAAGTTTTGAGGTGGTCAGTCCCTCAGTCTGGAGAAGAGCATTGTTCCATAGTATGAAACAATATGGAGATGAAATGGCAGGATGGAGCCTTATATAGCGCCAAGAGGTGAGACGTAGGTCACTAGAAGAGGTAAGAACTCAGATGTTGGGAGGTCAGGTCCCTCTCAAATCCAGCCGTTCTCACTAGTGGAGGTTGTCGAAGTTGATTGTAGGTCTGTACCAAGATACCCTTGTGTTGCAGTGTCTGACAGATTGAACATATATTGTTTCATACTATGGAACAATGCTCTTCTCCAGACTGAGGGACTGACCACCTCAAAACTTTAAGGGTGATGGACTGATTACATCGTCTTCATGTATCTTCTGCTTCTATCAACTTTTCTGTACTCGACTGAAGAAGCCTACTGTGTAGGCGAAACGTTTCGAAATAAAGATACCTAACTGTTGCATATGTGTCTTACCTAACAACCTGTCGGTATTTTATACCATTTTAATGTTCAATAATTAGTCTCTTTCAGAACCTTCCATAAACGAGAAAAAGAATTTGATGAGCGTAGTGCATCTCTATTATCTTCTCTGTGTCTCTCCTGTCTGCGTGTCTAACTAAACACAGAGGCATAACTGAAAGATTGGCCAATGGCAGGAGGCAGTGGAAACCCAGGAGGTACAGAGATGTCTGAGAAGAGTGACCAGGTGGCCAACTCTGCGCTGGTTCTTCTCCAGGACCATGACTTACCAAGTAATATAAGCTATACTATATGTTTTACCCTAAATGTATATATGTATGTATCTGTAGGTATATATACACAGAGGTTGCATAAATTTTTAATAGAAGAGTAAATTTTTTTTCTTTTGGTTAACCATTACAATGAAGTTTTATTGATTCATTTACAAGAGAATAGATTTCATTCAGTTACCCCCATTCAACACTCAAAAGCACGAATTCACGTACGCACACACAAACACGTACCCATGTACACAAGCAAGCATGCTTGCGCGCACACACACACATATAAAGCACACACATCTCACGCGCACACGCACGCATGCACACAGACACACAAACACATACTCAAAAACACACATACACGCAAAAACATAAAAAAATCACATAATCATACCACATACACATTCGTCCTACAATCTGGGATACAACCCCTTCCACTACATGCAAATGAGTATAACCAACACACACATACACACACACACACACGCGCGCACACACACACACACACACACAAACACTCGGACTCGACCCCCGCAACCTCAACTACGTGAGTACACACACACACACACACACACAGGGTGAACCAGCAACACTGGGCCTAATATTCACCTTGAGTAGTGCAAATATTGAGGACATCACACATGAAAGGCCCTTCGGAGCTAGTGACCATGTGGTTCAAAGTTTCGAATACATAGAGTTACAAGTGGAGAGGGAAGCAGGAAAGGCAAAACAAATGAAGCCAAATTACAAGAGTGGGAACTACATAGTCACGAGGTTCAGTGGGATAGAGATCTAGCAGGGAAATCAGTAAATGAGATGATGAGATATGTGACAACAATATGCAAGGAAACGGTGGAGAGGTTTGCACCCATGACAACAGACATAATGAGAAGGCCAGAACGAGCCCTTGGTTCACCCAAAGGTGAAGAAAGGCAAAAACCAAGTGCGCTAGAGAATGAAAGAAGTATAGAAATCGAAGGCGCCAGGAGAATACGGAGAGTAGTCAAAGAACAAGAAATGAATAGGTTCAGGTAATGAGGGAGGCCCAGCGACAATATGAAAATGACAAAGCAGCAAAAGCCAAGTCACACCAAGAGTGAACAACAGTCAAAGACCACGTAATCAGGCAGAGGAAGGAAGAAGGGGAGCTTACAAGAAACAACCCTGACGTTTGTGAGGAGCATAACATGAGATTCAAAGTGGAGATAGAAAGGACACCAGAAACACGGAGAGGTGGGATACACCAATAAGTGCTAGAGATGGTACATACAACCAAGGAGGCGACAAAGAGGCTGCTAAGCGAACTAGTTACCTCAAAGGCGATGGAATCGGATAACATCTCTTTGTGTACCCTGAGAGTGGCACCACTAACAATAATCTTCAACAATCTAATGAAACAGGGCGACTATCTGAGGTATGGAAGACAACAAATGTAGTCCCAATTTTTTAAAACAAGGGACAGACAGCATTAAACTACAGAACAGTGTCACTAACAGGTAAGCCATGAAGAGGATTAGCAGGAGAAAAGTGGTGGACCACCTAGAAAGGAATGAGCTTACAAACGGCAACCAGCACAGTTTCAGAGGCAGGAAATCCTGTGTCATAAACCAACTAAGAGTTCTATGACAAGGTAACATCAGTAAGACAAGAGAGAGCGTGGGGGGTTGGTACATTGCGTTTTCTTGGACTGTAAGAAGACTTTTGGCTCAGTTTTACATAAGAGACTAGTAAAAAACTGGAGGACCAGGTAGGTATAACAGGTAGGCACTGCAATGGACCAGAGAATACATGATGGGAAGGCAGCAGCGAGTCAAGGTACGTGATGAGGTGTCAGAGTGGGCGTGTGTGACGAACAGGGTTCCACAGGAGTCAGTCCTACGACCTGGGCGGTTTCCAGTATATGTGAATGACATGGCAGAAGGAATAGAAACAGAAATATCCCTGTTTGCAGACGATGTAAAGTTAATGAGGAGAATTCAGTCAAAGGGGGATAAGGCAGGAATACAAAGGGATCTGGATAGGCTGCAGACCTTGTCCAGCAGATGGATCCTGGAGTTCAACCCCACCAAGTGCAAAGCCATGAAGATCGAGAAAGGGCAAAGCAGACAGAAGAGGACACTAGGGGCCAAAGACTACAAACGTCACTCAGGGAAAAGGATCTTGGAATGTGAATAATACCGAGAACATCTCCCGAGGCGAACATTAACCAAAGAACTGCTGCAGCATATGGACGACTATCAAACCTAAGAACAGCATTCCAATAGCTCAACAAGGGGTTGTTCTGGATCCTGTACACCCTGTACGTCAGGCCCATATTGGAGTATGCAATTCCAGTTTGGAACCCTTCACCTGGTCAAGCACGTCAGTAAACTTGAGAGTGCGCATAGGTTTGCAACGAGACTAGTCCCGAAGATAAGGGGCATGTCTTACGAGTAGAGGTTCAGAGAACGCGACCTGACGACACTGAAGGACAGGAGGGACAGGGGAGGGATATGATAAAGACATAAAAAATGCTGAGAGGAATAGACAAGTTGGACAAAGACAGGATGTTCCATAGATGGGACACACCAACATAGGGTCACAATTGGAAATTAAGACTCAGATGAGCCACAGGAATGTTAGGAAGTATAGAGTTGTCAGGAAGTGGAAAAGTCTGGAAAGTGAGATAGTGGATGCAGGTACCACACATAGTTTTACGAAGAGGTATGATAAAGTTCATGAAGAAGAGAGACAGAGTGGATGTAGTAGTGACAAGTGAAGAAGTGGGGCCAGGATCAATGACTTGAGCTCTGCAACCACAGTTAGGTGGACACACACACACACACACACACACATACACATCTTCTTGGACTGCAAGAAGGCCTTTGACACAGTTCCTCACAAGAGATTAGTGCAGAAGCTAGAGCATCAGGCGCATATAACAGGAAGGGCACTGCAATGGATCAGAGAATACCTGACAGGGAGGCAACAACGAGTCATGGTACGTAATGATGTATCACAGTGGGCACCTGTGACGAGTGGGGTCCCACAGGGGTCGGTCCTAGGACCAGTGCTATTTTTGGTATATGTGAACGACATGACGGAAGGGTTAGACTCAGAAGTGTCCCTGTTTGCAGATGATGTGAAGTTAATGAGGAGAATTAAATCTGATGAGGACCAGGCAGGACTTCAAAGAGACCTGGACAGACTGGACACCTGGTCCAGCAAATGGCTTCTCGAATTTAATCCTGCCAAATGCAAAGTCATGAAGATAGGGGAAGGGCACAGAAGACCACAGACAGAGTATAGCTAGGTGGCCAAAGACTGCAAACCTCACTCAAGGAGAAAGATCTTGGGGTGAGTATAACACCGAGCATGTCTCCGGAAGCACACATCAATCAGATAACTGCTGCAGCATATGGGCGCCTGCAAACCTGAGAACAGCATTCCGATACCTTAGTAAGGAATCATTCAAGACACTGTACACCGTGTATGTCAGGCCCATACTGGAGTATGCAGCACCTGTTTGGAACCCGCACTTGATAAAGCACGTCAAGAAACTAGAGAAAGTACAAAGGTTTGCGACAAGGTTAGTTCCCAGAGCTAAGGGGAATGTCCTATGAAGAAAGATTAAGGGAAATCGGCCTGACGACACTGGAGGACAGGAGGGTCAGGGGAGACATGATAACGACATATAAAATACTGCGTGGAATAGACAAGGTGGACAAAGACAGGATGTTCCAGGGAGGGGACACAGAAACAAGAGGCCACAATTGGAAGTTGAAGACACAAATGAGTCAGAGAGATAGTAGGAAGTATTTCTTCAGTCATAGAGTTGTAAGGCAGTGGAATAGCCTAGAAAATGACGTAGTGGAGGCAGGAACCATACACAGTTTTAAGACGAGGTTTGATAAAGCTCATGGAGCGGGGAGAGAGAGGGCCTAGTAGCAACCGGTGAAGAGGCGGGGCCAGGAGCTAGGACTCGACCCCTGCAACCACAAATAGGTGAGTACAAATAGGTGAGTACACACACACACACACACACACAGAGCAGAGAAGCTGTGGGTGCCTCTAACCAGAATATTCAGTTCATCCCATGAAACTGGACAATCACCTGAGGTATGGAAGACGGCAAATGTAGTCCCCATTTTTAAGAAAGGAGACAGAAACGAGGCACTAAACTACACACCAGTGTCTCAGACGTGTATAGTATGCAAAGTCATGGAGAAGATTATCAGGAGAGTAGTGGAGCACTTGGAACGGAACAACATTATAAACGACACCAGCACGGATTCGAGGAAGGAAAACCCTGTGTCACAAACCTTCTGGAGTTCTATGACAAGGTAACAGAAGACACGAGAGAGAGGGGTGGGTTGATTGCATTTTCCTGGGCTGCAGGAAGGCCTTCGACACAGTTCCTCACAGGAGATTAATGCAGAAGCTGGTGGACCAAGTGCATATAACAGGAAGGGCACTGCAATGGATCAGAGAATACCTGACAGGGAGGCAACAACGAGTCATGGTACGTGATGAGGTATCACAGTGGGCGCCTGTGACGAGCGGGGTCCCACAGGGGTCAGTCCAAGGACAAGTGCTATTTTTGATATAAATGAATGACATGATGGAAGGGATAGACTCTGAAGTGCCCCTGTTTGCAGATGATGTGAAGTTAATGAGAAGAATTAAATCAGATGAGGATCAGGCAGGACTACAAAGATACTTGGACAGGCTGGACACGTGGTCTAGCAAATGGCTTCTCGAATTCAACCCTGCCAAATGCAGAGTCATGAAGATTGGAGAAGGGCTAAGAAGACCGCAGACAGAGTATAGACTAGGCGGACAAAGACTGGAAACCTCACTCAAGGAGAAAGATCTTGGAGTGACCATAAAACCGAGCACGTCTCCGGACGCACACATCAACCAGATAACTGCTGCAGCATATGGGAGCCTGGCAAACCTGAGAATAGCGTTCCGATACCTTAGTAAGGAATCGTTCAAGGCGCTGTACACTCTGTACGTCAGGCCCATATTGG